AGACAGAACCCTATCAGGTACTGGGTTCTTGGTGAGTTTTGAATCTGTTTTTAGTGAACTGGAACAAGTTAGATAAAGTTGTTTATATGCTGTAAATCTACTTTCCCTGAGCCGAAAATGTGTTAGCTAATGGGTTGTTTATGAGTTGCAAATCTGTTCAGTGAGGTGAAAATTTGTCAGATAATGGGTTGTTTATGAATTCTAAATCAATATTCAGTGAGTCGGAACTATGTTAGATAATAGCTTGCGTATGGGTTGTAAATCTGTTTTCAGAGAACTGGAAACATGTTAGATAATGGGTTGTTTCTGGGTAGTAAATCTGTTCTCAGTGAGCTAAAAACATATTAGATAATGGGTTGCTCCAGAGTTGTAAATCTGTTTTTAGTGAACTGGAAACCTGTTTAATAAAGGGCTCTTTATATATCTTAACTCTGTTTTTAGTGTGCAGAAAAGTTCAATAATGTGTTAGATTTGAGTGGCATATCTGATTTCAGTGAGGTAGAAATCCATCAGCTAATGGATTCTTTATGAGCAGATCTATGTTCAATGAATTAAAAATCTGGGACAATAGTATCTTGTATATAAGGTACTCTATTTTCACTATTTGAGTCAAATACTGAGTAAAGGTTTGTATGATTTGTTGACTTCAACTTAATGATGTAGAAAGGGGTTGTAGAATTGTTAGAACCACACTAGATATTTCCAATGTGGTTTTGAATCTCTAGCAAGTAAAACTTGCTACACATGCGTACTAGTAATTTTGGAGGAAAAAGATAGCAAAATGAATGTCAGAGATATTTTTTTAATCCTGAAATGAAACATTTTTACTAAAATCTCTCAGCTGGATTCCATTTAATAATTTCTGTGTAATCACATATAGTTAACGTGGAAATAAAAAGAATTTAGAATTTTACATCTTCCAGTGAATGGAATCACTGATGTCAACCGGTCTTACCACTGCTTTTTCCTTTATAGGTATCACTGTTGGTCAGATACTTCTAATATATAAAGCAGCCTCATGAACTGTTTCCTGTTTACAGTGAGAGAAAATCATGTGCAGACTGTGGAAAGGAAGGATATGTAGTACAAAAATATCAGTTTAAATTGAATGACACAACATAAAAAAAAGGAGTTTAAAACACATGAAGGAGAACAATAAACTAACATATACTGGAATGTGATATCCCTTCTCATTTACAATGAAAAAAACAACTGAAGCATTTCTAGAAAACAAACACCATTGTTCACAAACACATCCCAAGCATACACAGTAAATTTTTTGCAAGATAGAAAATTTCATCTGACATTCAATTATTCAGAGTGCTGACTCTGCTAATGAAAAATGAAATCGGGCATATTAAGATTACAAGTAGAAACACTCCTAACAATTTCTTAAAAGTATAATTCTCATCTATGCTTTATGGAATGTCTTTAGCTCTTGTACAACAACCTATTATAAAGTAATGAGGAATACTTTATTGTTCTTTTAAAAAAACGATTTGTATCTGCATTGGTGCTTCACCAGTATTTCCTTCTCCTCTTCGTTTTAAATGTAAAAATTTCCAGTGGCTTAGTTAAAATAGTGCTTGTATGTCACCACTGCACATTTCTGTGAGCTGTTTGTGTCTCTTGTACGGCTAACATCAGCTCTGAATCCCTAGGTTTTAATGTTTTCCTGGGAATAATGAGAACATCCTGACAACATTGTTTAGTTTCTCTTTACCATATCGTAATACAGATACTATTAATTCCTCTAAATATGCACACATAAAAACTCAAAGTAAAAAAAGGCCTTGTATTATATTTGAAAAATGCGTTTCCATTCATTAGTGTCAACAGTTTTCATGACCACGAATACCTTCCCAGAACCACAGTGCAGAGGGACATAATGATACAATTATCCAATGTCAGTTGTAGAATAATATTTTGTCAGTTTGCAACTGTTTAACTTCTTTCTTTTCTAAAAATATTTCCATTAATATCCAACAGCAAAGGGAAATATGTTCCACATCAAAGGTACTTCCATTTTTCCTAATCACTTTCTTTGGTCTTGTTATTAAACTGTTTGACCCAAACAAATAGCTAAATGTAGCAATGCCATAGGCAACATAACATACGATATTCAGATGAGAATTATCCACAACGTAAGGAGCAAAAACTATACAACACTTCAGACATTTTGGAAAACAGTTACCAAAATGAACCGCTTCCTCCAAAAAAACCAGACAGTACTCAAAAATGACAAGCAAGAGAAGAAACACAGTAAATATATGCATTTGACAACTGACTACAGATGAATGAGGCTTATTGCATATTTTAGAGCAATTCAATTGGAACAGAAATGAAAGACAAGATATTTTTAGAATTTAGATTTTTGTAGTACAGATTTTTGGATGTGTAGTGTTAAGGATATATTTCTTACACATCTGCATTCAGATTTACCTTGAATTCTAATTTTACCATGACAAACCACGATAACTTTTTACATACACCTTGTATTAAAGTTATGTTAGGCTTTGTTGATAAAGATTTCGGTGCCAGATCCTCAGAAGATTTTACTGAGGCCTCAGCTGCAAAATATGTTTGTGTCTTATCGTGAAGACTTTGGTGATGATATTGGCGTCAATTCCCTGATAGCAGTGTCAGGCTTCAATTATTCAGAGGCTAAAAAAATGTCAAGTTTCATACAACTCCTCCTACTAGTGTGGTGAATGAAGGCATAGTAAACATGCAAAGCTACCGAGTAAGCCTCTACTAAAAATGGACAATTTCGTAGTTGGAATTTGCCTCCGATTATCACTGAGCACAAGTCACTTTTCTTGGGCTCACTACAAGAAGGGTGAGTCAACTGGACACACTGACCAGGGTCCTAGTATTTTGTACAGAGGAATGATTATGTCAGCAGAGGTATCTTACAGTACTTCACCCCCACTAACTAGAAAAATAAACAACCAATAGGTTCATGGTGTAAGGGGCCTTCTTTCATTTCCAGGCATTGCACAATGAGGTTTTGTTTCAGCAGTAAAGCTCCTTAAAATCACAATAATACAAATTAAGCACCATCATTATCACTTCTGTTTTCTAGTAATATGCTTCATGCATTGTAAGATTGTTATAAAATAAATTATTTTGAATTGTAATTGTACAGATAATATTTAAATGTATCTTATAGGGATAAATTACAATAATTGTGTTATATAGTTAAGTATGGTAAAACTTTATTGACATTTTTAACTCTATAAAGTCAAGTGATTATCAACTTTTCACTTAATAAAGTTTATTGAAATAAAATATGTTATTTGGGAAATAATTTTTTTTACTTACTTTCAATTAGCACTTTTCTGCCAGCCCAGTTGTCATTAATAACTTGTATATTTCCAAAGTGTGCGTCGCTGAAGAATATGCGATTTGTACCTCTTCCTTTCAGACTATAGTCAAAAGCAAGAGCTATCACATTTTTGAAGTACTCTGGATTTTCATATGGCCTTACTGGTGAATTTAAGTTGGTTTCATCTGAAAGATGTATACTTTTTAATATTGTCCTTCCTGAGTACAACAGGTAACCTTCATGTCTCAGGCAAGTAATTCCATCTTCTGCAAGATAGCCATGTGCACAAGCACATGTTCTCCGTGCATTTCCCCAATAAAGGCAAAGTTGATGACATCCACCATTATTCTTGGCACAAACATTAGTACCTGTAAAAAAAAAAACAAACACAAAACCAAAAATCTCTCTTATAATCCTACACTTAGCTAACTTAAATCAAAACGTAGTTTTATGTATTTTAAGAACTCTTCTCTTAAAACTGTTTCTACAATATTCACAAGTAAAACAAAGGCCAAAACAGTAAAGAATGTAACTTTAACCACAAGCTAAAGACAATTTTAAAGAATACAATGAATAAGCAAATATAATTAATGTCCTTTCCAATTCACAAGAGTATATATTTTATTAATAGAAAATTATAAAATGGGTTATTCCTCCATAATCAGCTGAAGACTTAGAGACTGTTTCAAGTGCTTTGAAAGATTTTTTTTTTTAAAACACCTGTTACTGGCAAAAAGTCAAATTTAGATACCACCAGAATACAGTACTGTTTTTAGACAATTTCTATCAAAATGAAACCATAATATTGACACATACAAAACTGTGTCAATCCAGTTCCCTGTTTTTAATAAAGATATTTCTTAACATTTTGTTCTAATTTCCTTTAAAACCTGACTTAAAAAACTTACTCCCTGACAAATGCATACCATTAAGAAATCATTGTAAAATTAGTAACTTCAATGACTTAAACTACACTTGTTACAAGCAATATTTAAAATTACAGTAATTGTCAATAATTAGGAGCTATTTTCCTTTGTCTTTTTTGGACTATGTATGAATTACTATTATAGTTAGTTTAGATAATTTAGTTTCTGTTTCTGACAGCACTTCCCATGTAACAACTCCGCTCTTTCAATATAGTCATTTTCCCATTTCTGAAAATTTTCCACACAGTGGAGGAGAAGAAAACATTTTAAATAGACTGTTTTCTGGTAGAAAACCATAATAATTGTTGGGGAATATGTAGTATGTAGAAGTACTGTTGATTGTATTTTCTAACTGCTACATTTCAAGCTGAAGATACTTTTAAGAAAAAATAATGGGAGATGAGAGTTAACTTGCTCTTCAAATTAGAAACGTTGAATTTTGTGTTCCTAGGCAAAGTTACATGACACATCTTCCTCTATAGTTATGTAAAAACATTTAGAGATTTAGCTGTATACATTTTTACATTTGGTTTGTTTTAAAGATTCTTTTAAAGTTTTATTAGGCTAGAAAAGTTAATATCTGTTTGGAAGGATGAGAGGTCGAGAAAAGAAAGGAAGTTACAGGAAAAAGATCCTCAAACTTCTAAAATCTCTCTTTGAAAACTTCAATGCTTCCCCAATTCACCAGTTGTTAATATCTTTTAAATTGGCCAATTCTGAAATCAGTGTAGTTAGGACATGTCCTTGCACACATGTAAAATAGCACTGAAGGATAGGAATCCGTTTGCAAATAGCACTGCAGGACTGGCTCATCAGAAAGGGTAAAACAGGTGTTTGAAAAAAAAGCATTAATCACAATCAGCACAGATTGGGGTTCTCTTTGGTTTTGTTTGGGGTGGTTTGTTTGTTTGAATAATAGAAGGTCAGGAAACTAGCTAATTACATTTTTTTTAAATAGCATTAACTACTTCTAGTTCAATGAACTTAAAAAATATATATAATAGTGTGATATAGAAAAACATTCCAAAAACATTTTTCACCTGTTTTTTCCCTTTTGTCTTCCTGGCTCACTGACAGCCCCTCCCAAAGACATTAACCATTTGTACCCTAGTAAAATTTGAAAAATGTATTAAAAAATCATCCAGTTATGTTTTTCAAACTAGCATCAAAAGATTTCTAGCCTCAGTAACTGTTTCTCTTATTCCTAATGCGATCAAGTCTTTAAAAGCTATCAATAAAAATCATTACATGTAAAGAAGCATTTTTTTATCCAATTGTTCTATTTTCCTAAGACTATAATATAAAGCAGCCCTTCCAAGCAAGCAGACATTAACTATTTCTAGCCTATTTAAAAGAAACAATAAGTTTTTGTGTGGATTTTATTTTTATCCACCAAATATGATGCCCGCAGTACTCTGAAATTACATGCAGAAATTCTTAGTAAAATTAATATGCATATGTTTGCAAAATATATTTTTTCAAAACTATTTAAAATTCCCTTGGGAAAAAAAATGAAAAGACAGTTTTTCTTCTTGATTGTTAAATATGCTTTCTTTCAAAATGCAGATTTATTTTACATGTCATATTTAATGCAGTTATTTAGGAAAGTTGTATATAAAAGCAACAGGATCTTCAGGTATATAATGCTGTGATTAAAGCAACTTTTGAGAGCTACCAACACCAGAAATATATTTGTATTAAAATGTTTATCTTGTACTACAGTCACATTTTTTTTCTTCTCTTTTTGAATACATTTGTAGAAAATTTTGTCTGGATTGCCTGGTAGCACTTTGTTCTGAGGAAATCATCATCATTTTTCGTAGACTTGTAACCACCTTTGTTCACTAAAACAAGTTTTTGAAGGTCTCTTCAAAACCAGAATTTTAGGAGGATAAAGATAGCTAAAAGCAAGATTATTCTTAGTCAGGTAGTGGCTAACAAAATTTAACCATCAATACCATAAATCACCGAGAGTATATGATAACTTTTGTCTCCTGAATTTGCTAAACAAATTGAATACAAAGGAAATCCAATTATTTACAAGGTCTCTTCCCACACAAAAAAAATAGGACTCAAAACCAAGTAATTTCAGGAAATAAATATTTGAGACACAGAGGCTGGGAACATCTAGCTGTGAAAAAAAAATTCTGGTTTGTTTTCCAACAGAAATCTGAGACTGCCTGAGATTACTGCTCTTTAAAGCACAGTTCAAGTCCCTCTCATTCCTAAGAATGTTTTTTTGCTTTTTAAAAAACAAAACAAAACAACAAAAAAACCCTACCAAAACCAACCAAACCTGGAATGATAGGAAGTGTTTTGGTTTTCTATTTTCTCCTTAAAACACTCAGAAGAATTTTAGTAGAATTTATACTATATGTTTTCTTTAGTACATTAATTTTAGCTTAAAAAAAATACTTCAAGAGTAAAAAGTGGAGATAAAATCAGTGATTACTTAACTTTTCGTATGCTTTAATATACATAAAAAGTAGCAGGTGATATTAAAACAATTAATAGCATCCTTAAGAACAGCCAACCTTTCTCTCGTGCTCTATTAAAGACTTTCACTTCCTTCAGGTTTATTCCAAGGCCAGTCCTCATGGTCACAGCATCCGTGGCCTCATTCTTGTGGCCTCTTCTAATAGAGCCATTTGCATGTGCTCTGCCAAAAAAGTTGAAGATGTCTCATCAACAATCCTCAACTAATTCACACCAAACAAATGACTGAAGGGCAGTGGAGAGTTCACCTAACAGAAGGTGAAGAAACCTGTTCTCATCTATGACACTGATATGCTTTAGCTTTCAGCATCAGAAATGCCCCTTCTTTGGAAATTGTATAGCTTTCCGTGATCCTTTCTGTGACCTTGCTAAGGAATGGCTAATCCTACAAAGGTGAAGCACCTGGCACTGAAATAACATTTTGAGACTCAAATACCTATGAAAAATAAATTACCTGTCAGACCAGTAGATGTAAGCTCCAAACACCGCGACTGAAAACATATCCACATTGCTCCCTGACAGCACAATCTCCCGATTCCCTCCACTCTCAAGGTCAATTCTTTCTATCTTGTCGGTACGAGCATCACACCAATATAATTTATTTTCCTAAAGATTAATTTTAAAGGAAACATCAACAATCTTGTCCAAGTATTTAATTAAGAGTTATTAAGATTACATCAAAGTGGAAGACCAGCTGGCTTTAATGAATCATAACAAATACTGTACATTTTAACATATACTGGAAGACAGAGGAACTAACCTCATAGTCGATGGAAATCCCATTAGGCCATGCAATCCCCAGGCTCACAAGCACAACCTTCTCAGACCCATCTAAGTGTGCCTTGCCTATGCAAGGAGTCTGTCCCCACTCTGTCCAAAATAAATACCTAAAACATTGTAGAAATTACCAATTAAAATTTTACATCAAAATAAGAGTTGAAAATACGTAATACTGTACTGTAATTGCAAACAAAATGCACCATTCCCATTAAATAGATATTTAAAAAACATGGTAAGACTCATGTCTCTAAATAATCTTAAGAGATTAAATGTATCATAATACTTGGTTCACAGAACACTTTGAGAGATTTTTTGCAAATGATATATATGAAGTAATTCTTAAAACTGTATTCGACCAGTCAATATGCAATTTTATTTCTTAAAGAATTCAGCTTTGTGCTTGGAAAAATAAAAGCAAATTAAAAAAAAAAATTACTGCAACAGAAGCTCTCGCATCTAATTGCTAACAAATGTTGTGATAATACAAAAGGTGTATGTCTAACTTAAAAATGTGTTAAATATGAAGCGGTGAGGAGTACTGTGGGAAATGGCAGAGCAAAGGGATTTTATTTGGGAAGAAAATATTTCTCCTATTCTCCCTAATGCTCATGGGATGAATCTGCATCTTACTTATCTAATTTTATATTACTGTATACTTACTGGCACAGTAACATCACTATTTTGGGATAAGATGCTAGGTCAAACTTCTGCCTTGACCTCCTACTTCTCAATCTGTTGTTTTAGGTATAGCAAAATGAGGCCAGTTAATCTACACACAGCACTTCCTTTATTGAACAGTAACCTACGGAATAGCTTTAAGTAAATGTCTATGTGTCTACAAATACATATGCGTATATATATATTTGTGTTAAAATATATTATAAACACGCACACAACAATATATACATTCTAAGCAAGAAACCTCTTTCTAAGATAACATAATTGAGGTCTAGCATATTACTAATCACCTGAAGAGAAGCATTTTCATAGCAAATATTCATAACACACTCAAACATTGTTTAGCAATACGCTGTACACAAAGAGAACAGAACATACAAAACCATTCTCCATTGTTTTTCTCTGTGTGGAATGTATGCATTAGTCTATTTTTAAAGATTACAAAAGTCTTCTGTGCATTACTAACCAGTTCTACCCCTGAGTCTGGTGATATCATTATACCAATCTGTTATGAAATGTTGATTGGATGACTGCAGATACATGAAATAAAGAGGGATAAAAAATGGGACAGGGAAGAACAAATATGGATCCTATAATTAGGTCATCAAATTTAGCTTCTGAAACAATGCCCACCTTACTTTGGCTCTAATTGTAGGGCTTTCCGGCTGTAATAAAACCAAATTTGTTCTCATACTTCTTTACGTAACAAACAGTAATATGAATACTAACTATAAACTTATACTACATTAGGAAATTGAACTATTACATTAGCTAAATTAAAAATATGTTTTAGAAACGTTAAAATAGACAGTATTAACCAGGTAGGTATCAGCAATCACTGCTTAAGTTTAATACAACTTTAACCAGATTACTAACAGCACCTCTAAATGGAACTGAACTTGCTTTCAGGCATCTAGGCAGAAGTACTTTCTTAACACAAGACACTAACTAAATGTTGACTACAGAAAAGCAGACATTTAATATGCTTGAATTAAACATTCCGTGCTCTTTACTTAGACTAGTTACTCTGAGAAAAAACAAAACAAAACAACCAAAACAACCATAATTAGCAGGTTAAATGAATCTAGAATCCTCCAAAGAAAATCCTGAATAGCTGCCAAAAATGTAAGGCAAGTTACTTAATACTCTCTTAGAGCATTAACGATTATAAATATATTGATATATAAACTTACATAAACTATTAACCAGTATAGAAAAATTTGATCTTCCCATATCTTCCCAAAAGGTATGGGAAGTACCATCTAGAATAATTGTTTCCTGGACCTTTGTAGGTAGCAAAATGCTACCGACACCCTTGGTGTATATATTGCAATGCTAGAATAACTACTACTCAACTTATTTCGGAACTATCCCATATATAATTTACGTAGCTGACATGGAGATGCAAGTGGCGGAAATTTGATGTGGGCCTAGAATCAACTTTCAAAAACTTCTTCGGAAAAAATTCAATCAGAGTTTAAACTCGCCCCGCCCCAAACCCTAAACACAAATGAAATTCCCGCAATGTTTTTGAAGGAGTATCTTCCAAGTCTAAGAATTATTTCAGTATTAGCTTTACTCCATATTTCAATCACAATTTTGAGCTTGATCAGAAAATTATTATTTAATTGGGGGAAAAAAAAGTCAGCCAAGTGTATGTTATATGAATAAGTATACCTGATGACACAAGACACTCCTTTGTAGGACTACACATTCTTAAATTTTTCCTTAGCAAACAACGTTACCAACCAGCTGAATGCTGGCTGCTTCGTATCTTGGCATAACTGGCAGATTCAACGAGATCTAATAACTGCTATTATCCTCTCCATTCTTATAGCTGTCAACTCAAGCTCCAAGAGAAATGAAGAATGTGAAGTTAGGGCAAGGGGAGGGAAGAATACCTTTGAAAATTTTTTAAAGAGAGATGACAATAACGCAGAGGGTAAAAAGGCCTTTATCTTCCCACAGAAAGGTATACCCGTACTTCACTAGCAAAACATTGCTATCCTTCTCATGAAAAAACTGTGATTGGAGACATCTCAAGATATCATTTAGTGGCACAGTATTAAAAAAAGAGAGATGAAGCTTACCTACTTTCACAGAAGGTACGCTGTTCTACCAGACATGTAAAACAATTACTAATCTGTGGTCCTTTCATCTCTTAAGTTTTCTTAAGCATTCTAAACACATCCAAAAACTAACTATAAAACTCAACAAGATAAAACACCTAAGAAATGTTTCACAACTGAATTAATTTCTACATTTAGCATTTCTCTTCTTTGTTTTTAAGTGCAATAATTCAAACTCCTCCAAATTATATTTTAACAACATTTTATTAATATCTGCTTTTTGGTGGCATTAGACTATTCTATTTTAAGACCTAACAAGATGGTTCAGTGGCATCTCCAAATATCCATTAACTTAAAAGCAGGAACTGTTTCTTTCCAAAGAACCTTGTTAATATTGTTGACTATTATTTCATCTGCTTATGTGCACACTTATCATTTTAGTAAAATAAAACCATGAACTGTTCAGTCAGAAAGCATCATGTGAAAATACTGACATTAAAATAAAAAAAAATCCACACTTCAGTAAAAAAAGCAACTTTTCTATCAATAGCAGTATTAAATATTATTCTGTCAAGAGTTCTGCATTTACTCTTCCCTATAGCAAATGTTAAATGCTGGATCTCAGCTACAATCCATCGTCCCTCTCCAAATACTGCCAAGAGTTGATTTCACTTTTTACCATTTCTAGTTGAAAATAATGGATTTTATTTATATAATTCATATTATTTTCATATCTAAGAATTCTCCAGAGGAACTGCATCTACTGCACTTAGTCATCATAGACTTCATGGGGGCTTTTCCTTTCCTTTAATGTAAGGAAGGGGTGAAAAACTATGTATGTGTACAGCAAATACATTATATACATGTTGAGGAAAATTACACTGTAAATTAACTATTGTTTTGAAGAAGTTTGGTCTACCCTTCTGGTCAGAAGAATTTTATCAGGCTTCTGTGTACTTACCTTCAAAAGTTGTGGGTTTTTTTTTTAATTTTTTCTAACAGAAGAGCTCAGCTATTCTGCTACATTAAGGACAAAAATACAATAATTAATTCAGCCAGATCCTACTCTGAAGAACAGCATTATCCTAAACTGTTAGCAGATACTGCCAAGCAACCAGTGGTGCTATATGAACACAGCTGTAATGATTTGTGGCAAAAGCTATTACATTATGCAGAAAATAAAACCCCTTATTGCTTTCATCTTCATTCTTAAATACATTCAGTTGCAATGCTCTAGTCTGCAAAATACACAGATACTATGTCTAAATTCTCATAAAGGAAATAACGGCAAAGATCCAAATGGCATTTGCATCACTGGTATCAATCTGGCCTTACTGAAAAGTCAGGATACTTCATTTCTATGGCTGCAAATTCCTTTGAGTACAGAGAGTGCTTTCCTGAAAATAGTGAGATACTGATTTGATTGAATCTTGGAAAATGAGCTACACAATGTCATCTCTGGTTTTGGGGGCAGGTAGTTGCTCAAGTACTTCTTTAAGATTTTGGATATACATAATTTAGAGTTTCCGTTTTGGCAGAGTAAGTGTACCAGTTAAATCCACTGAATCTTGCTTATATGCCTTTTCCTCAGAAAGTACATTTCATATTCCCATGAAAAAAAGATGGGAATTCTCTGCAGAATTTACTGCTTCCGTTTTACTTGTAGCTCTACTAACAATAATTTTGGAGCTGGAAGGGGACAGAAAGTTCTCTATTTCTGTTAATGCTGCAGTATAGTCCCTACTCTCAACAAACCATTGGATGAATTCATATGTCATTTTTGACAATCCTTACTCTCCTACCCACATCTTCATGCTTCATCTCACATTACTTTCAGCTACCCTGAAGGGAATCTCCTTGATTGTTGTAGTGGGATGTTACATGATACCAGAATTTATAACTACCAAGGATTACACTGTTCTACGATTTCATCATGTCATCGAGGTCTTCACTAACTAATGTGACTTCCTTGGATTTGCTGGAAACTTAAGAACAGATTTAAGCATGGTTCCAAGCAATGTCTAAACTTCAGTTGAAATGATTGTCTTCGAAAATGAAAACTGTTTTGCAAAGTACAGTATGTCATGTATACAGAGACCAATGAAAAGAATCAGTGTATGATAACAATAACACTTCCTTCCACCTGTGCTTAGTTACAGTACAATAGTTTCCAATACAATCCTTTTGGGTTTTATTAAATGCTTATCTGTTACAACAAAGGCCTCGATTTACTTATCTAAGAGCTTCAGTGCTAGCATGCAAACTTTAAAAGAAATGCAAGTAGCTATGGTCATGTTACCCTTTTTCTGGGTGTACCGCAACAGATCTTGGCTGGTCCAAACCCTGGGATATAATTACATATCGGAATGAGCCGTTGAGCCTGGCAACTTCAATTAAGTTGAAGCCATGATCCGTCCAATATATGTTACCTAGGAAAAATACCTTGAAGTTACTGGAAAAAGAAAACACTACTTGAAAAGTGTTTAAATCTTAAGTGCATAAGTTTGGACCAGAAACTAACTGTTGTCTTTTAACTTATATGTATCCTATATTTGTAATTTCTAGCCCTATTCAGTCTTCCGTTTTAAAGTATAAACTTGTATTCGTGGTTGTCCCCATTGAGACTGTCCGCCTAAGAAATAGTATCTAAGATATTTAAATAATTTTTCTGTCTGTAGTAAAACTGAGAAAAACAGTAGTGATAACTTCAGAGAAAAATATCTAGACTTTTGGAATATTAGAAATTAGAGCTGAAGTCAAACCACGTCATTTAGTCTTGAGCCGAAGATGCAAGAGCGTACTGTCAGAAATCATGACCATTCCTGAAGCAGGTTAAGACCTACCTGCTATCCAGTCCACTGCAATGCCTTCAACTCTTCCCAAACCATTTGTAACAATGTCTTCTTTCCATGTTTGGTCTCGTTTAGATCTGCTAATTTTGTTGAAACCCATGTCTGTCCAATAGATTGTATCATTTCCTATAAAACACATGACAAGGATTCTTGGATTAAGTCAGTTCCTTCAGTCCAAGTATCTACATCAGTAAATCAGTAACTGTAAAAACTGCCAATTATAACTTTATTATTATGTCTCAGAGTAAATAGAAGAATGGTATCAACACTATCACCTTTAATTCCTTTTTCTTTTTTTTTTTTTTTTTGTTTAAATAATTAAACCAGGATACTAGGTTTTCTACTGGTTGTTTAGTACTGCACATATAACATAATAGGGCCATGACAACAGATGGAAGCCACCACCCCTGTCAAAAATCAGGCAATAAATTATGTTGTCTTGCTTTGTTTTTTTTTTTTTCCTTAATGGGATACCTGTTTGAAAACATTTTATTTTGTTTACTAATCACCATCCCAAAATTATTTAGAGGTCTGAAAAACTACAGTGTAAAACTGCCTATACAGTCTTTTCAATCTGTATGACTGAATTTTGGCAGTATAAAAAAATCTAACTAGTAAAAAAAAAAAAGTGTGACATTTGAGAGTGATATACTGGTAAAAGAATAAAAAATTAACTCTATCCACAGTTCATCTTTTATTTTAAATGTCCTGGCAATTTTACTAAGAGTCTCTTTTGGTGTTTTAAGGCATTTCAGCTGTCTTTCCTGCCATTCTGCTGCAGTTGGCTGCACAGGGCGGAAGAGAGGGACCACTATGTAGAGTACCTATTTTCATTTAAAGTCATCAGCTAGGCTCAGAATTTGGAGTGGCCAAAGCACAGACATGCGTTTCCCTCCGTTGCCACAAAGTACCTATGATAAAGAGATGGGGCAAACAAAATTATATGACACCCCTCAGGCAGAATTCTCTGTATTTCCATTGACAGAGCTCTGAGTTAACAACACAGCCATGCTGCAACCCACATTCTGGTTTCAGAGTTGTCAGCTGGGGACTTCCTGAGTGAGCCATTTTCTCTGGAAAATGCATTGCTCAGAGATAAATAACATTTTTTCCTTCTTTATTTTTTCATACTTTATATATCTGCTTTTAATTCCATAAGAGTGTTTGTGCATATATATATATTTTATATATATATA